GTTTAAAATAAGACAGTGATTTTGTTCCTTTATTATTAAAGGGATATTAACGAACCCTAAATTTTGCTCCCTTCTTAAGCAACCCTAAATTTCGAAATTTTCTTGTCACTGGGGACAAAGAACTAGTATGATAAGTGGACATAGTAGGACATAGTAATTGGAGACAGAAGGGACTTTAGAGATTACCTAGTCAGTAAATCAGTCTGTTTATCAGCTAGCACGTGTGGTGTGTGGGGTGCTCAAGAGGACTAGCACCTCTGGTGTGAGGACTTGCTGGAGCCCTTTCCAGGGCTGCTTATCCTTTGGTGTCCACCTGATTCACCCATCTGTTACCTGTGGCTCCAAGAAGCTGTAGCATGTGCAGTGGCCACACCCCAGTAAACTATCTCGGCAGATGGGCTAAACCAGGTTGAGGGTAGCTGACAGGCCTCATATATGCTGGTCGGTTAGGGGGATGTCTAACCCAAGCATGTAAAGACCTTCCCTAGGGTGAATGAGAACAATTTGTTCCAACAGTCATGAAGGTGACTAAAGCAGGTGATGTGATGTGCTTAGAGGTTGTTCAGACATTGAAGATGCCAGAGTCATCCTCTGCATCCTGGGCCATCACCAGTTGTACTGACTTTTGCCTTGCCACTGGACTTCGATGACTCAGGAACAGAGAGTAAGTTGGATGACTTTGTGCAACTCTGCCTCGCTTAAATCTAATTCATGTGCAAGTCAGTACATCATCCATGATGTCATTGGTCCTCTTTGAAAACAAAGGACAAACAACAGCATGTATTAAGAGCCTGTTATACACTGTGTTGGTGCAGAGGTAGAGTGCCAGGGACTGAAGTAAAACCTGGCCTCAGACACTTACTAGCTGTGTGACCTTGGGCAAGTCACATAACCTTGTTTGTCTCAGTTTCCTCATCTGTAAAATGAGCTGGAAAAGGAAATAGCAAGCCACTCCACTATTTTTGCAAAAAAAAACAAAACAAAACAAACAAACAAACAAAAAACAAATAGGGTTACAAAGAGTCAGACATGAGGGCAGCTAGGAGGTGCAGTGGATAGAGTACTGGTCCTGGAGTCAGGAGAACCTGAGTTCAAATCCGGCCTCAGATACTAAACTGTGTGAGCTTGGGCAAGTCATCTAACCCCATTGCCTCAAAAAACAAAACAAAACAAAACAAAACAAAAAAACCTGAAGAGTAGGACATGACTAAAACAACTGAACAGTAACAACATATGCTGCCCTACATATTTACATGCCCTAGGCATGTAAAGACAAGAAAGAAAACAATTCCTTCTTTCATGGAGTTTACATTCTATTGAGGGAGACAATGCATGCATATAAGTATATGTGGCATAAATTATGCAAAATAAATACAAGGTACTTGGGTAGAGAAGGCATGAGCATTTAGGGGAAAGAGGAGAAGAACCCAAAAAAGCTTGATTTAGGAGGAGGCACTTGAATAGGGTCTTGAAGGAAGCAAAGGGTTGTTTGAAGTGGATTTGAGAAAAGAGTACATTCTAGGTATGGAGACAGCCAGTGCAAAGGCAAGGAGTTGAGAGATGGTGTGCTATGTTGGAGTTTGACTCCACCATAGAGTGTGGGAAGGGTAGTAGTCTACTTTGATTAATGTACAAATTAGGAAATTGGGACCCTGAGAGGTACAGTCCCTTTTTCAAGCTCATCCGGTGAGATAATGGCAGATTTTAAAATATAATCCAGATTTCCTGACTCCTAGGCCCATATTCCTTTGTTTATACCAACACTGCCTATTTGCAAGAGCTGCTTTAATGATGCAAGTAGAGACAAGCATGTGAGATTAGTCTGAAAATGCTTTAGTTGAAGAAGCATCTTTGATAATTATTTGTGCAAATGCTTTCTACTCTTATTTAACAGTGTGAAATCTTCAAAATATGACTAGAAGTAGAATAATATGATGAAAACTTTATAACTTTACTATGTGGAATACATCTGAAAAGAAGTTTCTAACCTTTAATTGTAAAAAATTAAGGCATAAGAGAAAATAGTAATGTCTTGATGAGTATAAAAAGGACAATATTCTGTCTTAATTTTACTCATCTTACTAATATTCTAATTTTACCATTCTTTTAAATTTCTATTTTGTTTCCATTCTTTCCAAGTTTATCAAAGACCTAATTGTCAAATCCCATGTCCTTTTCTTAATTCTCATCCTCCTTGAACTTTCTACAGCCTTTGACACTAGTGGACCACCTCCTTCTCTATACTTTCTCCTCCTTTGCTCAAAAGATCTCAGTAGTTCCTGATCATTATAGGACAACACACAAATACCTTAGCCTGGTATTTAAGACCTTCAACAGTCTAATTTAAACTTACTTTTCTAGCCTATTTTTTGCAGCTCCCCTTTATATATTCTGTATTCCAGTCAAATGGGAGGGGCTATTAAATATGTCTTCGTCTCAAACTAATTCTCCCACCTCCATGCATTTATATAGGTCAACCCTCATGCCTATAAGTATTCTATTCTCATCTACCTGTTGAAATCCTCTTCTTTTAAGGTTCAGTTCAGATAAAATCTCTTCCATTAATCCTCCCATGATTTTCTCACCCCAAAATGGTTCCCATCATGAAATTTTCTTATAAAAGTTTTTCACCTACCTATGTCATACTTGTGTTTGTCTATGCCATATCACTTCATTATATCGTAAGCTCCTTGAGGGCAAGAATGGCATCTTTTTATATCTTTGTATTCTATAGGGTCTAGTAAAGTTTTTGGCACATACTGAATGTTTAATAAATGTTTATTAAATTGAATGGAATTGAATTAATGATTGATAACTTGTGCTGGTTTGCCCAAAAATAGACAGAAAGTTAGTGGCACAAGTATCCACACTCAGATCTTTAAGTCCAGTCCTGTTTTGACTATGTATGTTCCCTCTGCTGTTTGGGACCAAACAATTTACCATAGGATCATAGATTTCTAGTTAGAAGGTGTCTCAAATATGATATAACCCACTCTTCTAATTTTATAGCTGTTGAAACTGAGACTCAATGAGTGGTAGCTTCCTCAAGGTCACACAACAAGTAGGTGATTGACCCAGCATTGAACTAGTGCTATAATAGATAGAGTACTGGACTTGGAATTAGGAATACCTGGGTTCAAATCCTAACTCTGGCATTTACTAACTGTGGGCAAGTCACTAAACCTTCCTGAACATTGGGCAGTTCTGTAGAACTATAAGTAATAAATGGTATGTGACCTATGTTAGTGGAGGGAATTTTCCATGGTGACAAAATAACAGTTATTTATGACACTTGGGTTAAGTAGAATCTGAAAGCAAGTGACACTGAGAAATCAGTATTGGATTTTTTTTGTGGAAACACAAAACTATTCTTAGATGACGGTGTTAAAATAGGCTGGTCTAGATCTGAGTGGCACAACTCTCCAAAAGTCAGGTTTTACCTTATTACAACTGGAATAAAACACTTGTTACCAATGGAAATAATAGTGAGGATAATGATCTGGAACAATGTTTAATGTAGAAATGCTACAATGGGCATAATTTATGACTCTCCTTGCCAAAAGTTGCTTCATACTTCAGGAGAATTTTTGTTTAGTTTGTTTGTTTTTTTAAGTAGATAATGCTGGAAGAACCATCAGGGACTATCAGTAATAATCTGGGCTAGATTTAAATTAGTCTTCATAGCATTAACCATTCAGTCTTAGTAGTCCATGCAAGTTTCTCCAGTTTTCTCAAGGGGGTATCCTAAGCTTTTCAAAAATGGTACAAATGAAATCATACACAAACATATACATACAAACACACAGACTAGACTTGTAATTTCATTAGTATAGCATGTGGAATAGATGAGGAAATTCCTTCCAGTTCAGGGCAGGACCTTCTAAGACCTCTAGAGAGTCATGTAGATCAGAGGTGTCAGACATTAGCCTGCTGCCTACATGTGGCCTCAACACACCTGAGTCCCAGTTCCTGTATAAACTTGTATGGTTTTCTAAGTCAATATGCTGATAGCTGAGATCCTTATGTACAGTGTAGTGGCCTGTTTCTATTTGCATTTACTACTGGCCAGTGGTATCAAATGGAAACAGATCCCTGCAGCTGCATATTGACTTAGAAAACCATAAATCAAAATCTTCTATCTTAAAATGTATTTTTATTTATTTTGTTTTATCATTTACCGGTTATGTTTTAATCCGATTCTGGGCAGCCTACTGGGCAGTGAGCTTAACTACTGCTGTAGACCACTGAACAATTAAGGTTGAAGTTATGAGGTAAGAAGTCCAAGAATTACCATAAAGTGACTTTACAGATGGGGGAAATTGAGGCTCAGATAATTTCAGTGATTTCTTCATAGTTACTTGGCTTGTTATTGTTCAGTCCTTTATTCATGTCCAACTCTTTGTGACTTCATGGACCACAGTGTACCAGGCTCTTCTGTCCTCCATTACCTCCCAAAGTCTGTCCAAGCTCATGTTCTTTGCTTCCATGACACTATCTATCCATCTCATCCTCTGCTGTCCTTTTGCCTTCAATCTTTCCCTACATCAAGTTCTTTTCCAATGAATCCTGTCTTCTCATTATGTGGCCAAAGTATTTAAGGTTCAGCTTCAGTTATTTCTCCTTCCAATGAATACATGGCTAGTAAGTGATAAAACCTAGCAACAGGAAGGTTGGGGCTTTGAACTCAGATCTTCTGACTGCAGGGACAAGTGTTCTTTCCTCCAGCCCACTGTTCTCGTTACTAACAACATTAAGATGACAAAACAAAGATTGCTAGTGTCACTTATCTTGGAAGTTCTCTGAACTGACACTCCCAAACTATAGAGTTGTGTCAGAATTGCAGTTCTTTGTTCCTAATAGAAACCTTCCTAGGTTAAGAAGAACACTGACTAGTACAATGAAACCCCTGGAAGACAATTCACCAATCTCTGCTATGTCAATACTCCAAAAAAAATAAACATTCTCATCAATGCTTTATTCTTTTTTTTTTAATCCTACAGTTAATACTGATTGTGGTCGGAGCTCTCATTGTAGTGTCAGCCTTACAACCATATATCTTCCTGGCAACTGTGCCTGTGATAATAACCTTTATTATGCTAAGGGCATATTTCCTCCAAACCTCCCAGCAGTTAAAACAACTGGAATCTGAAGGTATGGTCAATAAATACTATTTTCTTATTGTAAATGAATCTCAAAAAGCTATTTTTAGCTTTTATTTGGGTTTATTTTTGTTTTATATATTTCCTTCTGTTATTTTTCTCCATGTGATCTACTATTTCCTTATTTTAAAAAAAAAAGTCTTTTAAAACCAGAACACATAGAAAAAAAATACCATATTTGGAATGCTTTTGATAAATTCATACAAGTCTTCCCAGGTTTCTAAAAAAAAGGAAATTTTAAAAAGTACAATGTTTTTGAGTATGATAAATGCTATCTATCTTTCATTATCTTGGGGCTATAAATACATCTTGTTTCTTTACCAATGTGAGATACTCATTTACGAAAATTAAGAATGTAAGTGCAACAAAAATGATATGATCATCATTGGTGCCAAAAAGCAGCCCAATCTAGTAGACACAGAGCTGGCTCTAGAGCGAGGAAGACTTAGTTCAAGCCTTGCTTCTTTCCCTGACTGACTGTGTGACCCTGGGCAAGTCACTTAACCCCTTAGTAATCTAGGCAATTCAGTGAGCCTGTAAATTGCAGATAGGGTAGTGACCTGTACGGGTAGGAGTTTCCTTACCTGACGTTCCCTAAACCAATGAAAACAACAGAAAAGAAAACAAATGTCCTTGGAAATGGTTTTCCTAGGTACCCAAAGAGTTACAGCAAAGGGCCCCCCTCAACTTCATTGCCCATGAACAATGCTTTCATATACCTTCCAGCTCCTTTTATTTGTGGACTTCCAAACAATTCAGGAGGCTGCTTCAATGGTGTTTACACATATGAGTTTCATGAATGATTTTGTAAGCAACAGTTCAATAATACCTCCAGTGCTATGTGCCACAACCAGAGGTCAGTGACCAGATGAACAAGAACTGCACTGGATACAGAAAATTGCAATAGATGAGAAAGATAGTATCCCAACCAGTGAGATGACAGACCTTTCAAAATGTTGAGGAGGATGATTTCTTAGGATCTTCTCTGAGTATCACTGATTTATTTAAAGACCTCGGTAAGCCCCAGGACAAATCCTTTATTGTTAACTGTGAAAAAAGTTGTTTTTAGATAATCTTATGATTCTGGAATCACTGTTAAATTTTGATCAGTGAACACAATATCAGGTAATAGAGACATGCTACATCATGAAAACAAAGATGGGGGAAATCTTAGTATACTTAAAGGTTTCTTAAAAAGTAAAATGCTTTTGTTGGTGGAGCTGTGAACTGATCCACCCATTTGAAGAGCAATTTGGAACTATGCCCAAAGGGCTACAAAATTGTGCATACCCTTTGACCCAGCAATAGCACTTCTAGATCATAAAAGAGATCATAAAAATGGAGAAAGGACCCACGTGTACAAAAATATTTATGGCAGCTCTTTTTGTGGTGGAAGAGAGTTGGAAATTGAGGGGCTACCCATCAATTGGGAAATAGCTGAATAAGTTGTGGCATATGAATGTAATGGAATACTATTGTGCCATAAGAAATGATGAGCAGGCAGACTTCAAAAAACCTGGAAAGACTTTTACACACTGTTGCTGAGTGAAGTGAGCAGAGCCAGGAGAAATTGTACACAGTAACAGCCACATTGTGCAATGACTAACGTTGATAGGCTTAGCTCTTCTCAACAATGCAAGGATCTAAGATATCTCCAAAAGTCTCATGATGGAAGATGCGATTCACATCCAGATAAGAAACCGTGGAGTTGGAATGCAGATCAAAGCATACTATTTGCTCTTTTTTCCTCTTCTGTTTTGTTTTGTTTTTTCTTTCTTGTGGTTCCTCCTATTGATTCTAATTCTTCTTTACAACATGACTAATGCGAAAATATGTTTAATAGGAATGTATATGTTGTGCCTATGTCAGATTGCACACCGCCTTGGGGAAGGAAGTGGGGAAGGAAGGGGAGAAAGTTTAAAACTCCAAAGCTTATGGAAGTGAATGTTGAAAACTAAAAATAAATTAATTAAAGAAAACAAGCAAAATGCATTAAAGAAAAATAATGAATCATCTTGTTAGAAGAAGACTATACCATGATCTAAACAAGGATATTAACTAACTTGCTATTCTTTTAAGTTATTCCTTTATTGGTATGGCATAATGTCAATCTTTTTAATTTATTAAAATATTCACTTTTTTAATTTGAATATTTCCAGCCAGGACTCCAATTTTTGCTCATCTTGTTACAAGCTTAAAGGGCCTGTGGACTTTACGAGCTTTTGGACGCCAACCGTATTTTGAGACCTTGTTCCATAAAGCTCTGAATTTACACACAGCAAACTGGTTCCTATACATGTCCACACTCCGCTGGTTTCAAATGAGAATAGAAATGGTTTTTGTCATCTTCTTCTGTGTTGTAACCTTCATCTCCATTTTAACTACAGGTAATTAAAATGACTGAATGGTCATTGATACCTTTACACTTAAGGAATTGTGTTTATATGAAGCTGCATTCTTGTGTTCACATATCATTTAGCATCTATTTTTCACATTTCTGTTGAAGTAGTTAGTACTTCTTGGAAGCTGGATTATTCATTTGATTTACAGATGACAAAACTGAGAGAAATTCAGCGTTTGTTGGAAATCACATAACAAATCAGTGACTAGAAAAGAACTTATTTGATTACCAATCCAGTATTCTAGTTAGGGAATGTAATAAGCATTGATATGGTCCCTACTATGTGTCAGGCAGTGTGTTAAGAGCTTTACAAATATCATATATTTGATCTTCACAACAGCCCTCAGATGTAAGTGCTATTATTGTCACCATTTTGCAGTTGAGGAAACTGAGGCAGAAAGAGGTTAAGTAACTTACCTAGAGTCACATAAGTAGAAAGAGCCTGAGGATGGATTTGAACTCAGGTCTTCCTGACTCAAGGCTCAGCTATCTATTCACTGTGCCACTTTACATACTAGTTACTACACAAAAACACAGTTTCCTGGCTGCGCAGTAAGGCTAAGTTTTTTTCATTGAAGAAGTTTAAGCTGATCAAAGATAGAAGCTCCAAAGTGTTTAAGGAAAAAAAAAGATGCTGTTATTTTTTGCCCTGTAAACTGTTACACTAAAATATCAGAAATTAGACTGTTGAAAATTATAGCTTAATACTTTACTTTTCAACAGAAACAAATAAAATAATCTTAATGTAAGGTTTACATGATTTGAAGAAGAAAAATATTATAAAATGCAATTCAGTTGAAATATGAGCATCTGATTCTGTATGGTGTTTATATTTTCTCATTTACTAAAACATTATTTTCTATTATATAGAAGTACCTGTACTTTTAAGATATTTGGATTAAAAACAAAAATATTTTATAATAAACATAAAACCAATTTATCTAGAAATTTTTGTTGTGCGATATTTTAGTTCCCAGAAGATAAAATACATTAAGAGAGGGAGCATGACCTAGTGGAAAGAAGTCAAGCCTGGGTTCAAATTCTGACTCTGACACATATTATTAGCTGGGTGGCCCTGCGCGGGTGACCCTTTAAGTGCCCAAAGTAACTCTTAATGACTATATCAGCAAAGGGAGTTTCCACACTCAGACTACCCCACACTGATTAAGCCACAGGTCTAGACCAAAACAAAATAAGATTCATCAAAGAATTATTGTATGAACTGTCAAATGAAGTCAATCTCAAGGTAGGAATAATTTCTTGGGAAATGCAACAAAAGGAATGTGACTGATATGTAAGCTACAGGATAATTTTAGGCAACTTTTTTTTTGTTTTTTAAGAGTTAGAATGCTTCTTATGAGCCAAAACATTTGTCCAGCTTTTTTCAATTTTGTTTTAAAATGATCTTAAAAAGTATATTTGGGAAGTAGATTACATCAGATAAGATTCTTTAAACCATTAAATATAAATTACATATTTTTCAAAGCCATATTTTGTTCTATTCCTGGTTACTGTTTTTGCAGGGATATTTTGGGGGCCCTAGGTAAGTTTTATCTTAAAACAAATAGAGAGTTGAATTAAAAACAGGCACCAGATTGACAATGGGGCTATAGTAAGGTTCTCTCCTCTGGAAAGGTACAGTGCATATAAATACCAAATGACTGGCTTTCCTTTCCATTACCCTATAGAAGGCACTGAGTAGACACATTTTTCTTTCCCACAGGCATATCATTTTCAGCAACATAATTCAGAAACCTCACAGTGCACATTGTCTTACAAGTCTCCAATGTGTTTACGATAGGGTAATGTTCACATTAGCCAAGTTGTTATATCCCCTTGCTAGACTGTGTACTGTATTAGAGCAATAGTAATGTCTAAAAATAGTAACAAATAATAGCTAATATTTATACAGCATTACCACGTGCCAGGCACTGCGCTAAGAGTTTTATAATTATCTCATTTGATCTTCATAGCAACCTTGGAGGTAAGTGCTATCATTATCCCCATTTTTACAGATGAAGAAACTCAGGCAAACAGGGCTAAGTGACTTGCCCAGGGTCACACAGCTTGGAAGTATCTGAAACTGGTTTTGAACTCATGTCTTCCTGATTCCATGTCTCATACTCTATCCGTTGTACCACCAAGCAACCTCATAAAGTTTGTCTTTTCTTCCAAGGTTGAGCACAGTACCCTGAATACTATTTGTAATTAACACATTAAAAACATGCACTTATATATTTATATAATTGTAACTTATAAGCATCTGTTGAATGAATGTATGATAGGTAGTCATCTAATGTAGAAGAAAAATATGAAGAAACTAAAGCAGTAACTTACTATAACTAATTACTTAAGAATGAAAAATTCAATCAGTTATACACTTTTATTCAGTAACACATCTTACTATGAAATGAACTTTAAGAATTACCAAGATAAGTATGACCATTTTCTGTCCCTAAGAAGTTCACAATTTAGTAGAAGACATGTTAAAAACCCAAATTATTATGATATATGGTAGAATATACTTATTTTCAAATGTAGTACAAAGTGCTTTGGGGGTTCAAATTAGGTAGAGATTATATCTGGCTATAGAAATTAAAAAAGAGGAAGCTTTGAATTGGGTTTTCAGAAATTGATAGGTTTTTCAGTATGCTAGGCAAAGGGCCTAGAATAAATGAAAGCATGATAGTAGGAACTGCCTATTTATTTAGGGGAAATGAAATCTGTTTTGGAGATGTTGAGTTGGCAAGTTTTCTAGTACATGGAGGAAGAGGTGCCCTGGAAGCAGTTGGTAATGTGAAACTAGTGTTCAAGAAAAAGGCAGGCATCAGTCAATCAATGAATCAACAAGTATTTATTAAGTTCCTACTATGTGCCAGATATTGTGCTAGGTATGGGGATACAAGTACAAAGACTGAAACAATCCATGCTCACAATGAGCTTACATTCTAGTGAGAGAGGTAAATGCATATAAAATATGTAGACATAGAGAGTCTCACTATTGTAACATCAAACTCCAAAAAACCTGCCATGTAGTTTCAGTTGAATTGAACATTTGTTATTTTTAAATAAAATTTTATTAATATCTTTTGTTTTTTTATCACCAGAATTGTTCCTATTATCCTTTTCCTTCATTCCTTCTAGATAGTCATCAGATATAGCAAATAATATTTATGAAAAGAAAAAAAGGGAAAGAGACCAAAAAAATCAGCAAAATAGACATTTGTTAGATGCTACCATGCATTAGACACTTTGGAGAAATATTAAAAATTTATATGATTTGATATGTGCCCTTATGGATATTGAAGTCCTGTTGGAAAGTTAAGTCAAAAAGCAATTAGAGAATAATATGTAGTAGATAACAAAACACTGCATTCATTATTATTACCAAGAGCCAAAATAAATGGTGCAGATTGCAAAAGGAAAACAAGAAAGGGGAAAGATAGAAATGATCTGACATTGTCACAGAAGGCTTAGAGAACAGTGGAGGTTTGGCATGAATCTTAAAGGATTAGTGGGTCTTAGACCTCGAAAAGGAAGGAAGGCCTTTTCAGGAAGGATATCAGCAAAAGTGTGAATGTAGCAATGATTATGGTGAATGAATAGTAAAGAGAATACCCGAGAAGCTAGAATTAGGTAAAATTATATAATGCCCTTGAAAGCTAGGCAGAAGAGTTTGGATCTCATCGGAGAGGCTATGGAAATTCATAATAAATTAATAAATAAAAATGTGACATGATGAAATTATAATTGTAGGAAGATTGTCCTGATAAGAATATAGGATGAGTTAGAAGTGCGTGTGTGTGTGTGTGTGTGTGGTCAGATTTGGATGAGTGGGAAGGAAGGAGATAAGGAAACAGACTAGAAATTATAAGGAAACAGACTGAACTAGTAGTTCAGATCAGAGCCTAGATTAAGGTGATAGCTATGAGAATGGAGAGGACAGGATGAATTCAAGAGATATTGAAAAAGATTTTTTTTCATTCATTCAACCAACAAGCACTTATTAATGTCCCTACTCTCTGCTAGGCTCAGTGCCAGGACTGGGAAACACAGTTGGGGAAATTAGGAAAGGCTTGAGGTAGAAGGTAGCACATATGCTTAGCCTTAAAGGAAACTAGAGGTTCAAAGAAATGTGATATATTCTAGGCGTGGGGAACAGCCATTTTAAAGGCATGGACATGGGAAGTGGAGTGCCAAATATGGAAAAGTTAATGTCATTTAGGTAGTAGCATAGAGTAAGTTAAATGATATAACATTTAATTTTTAAATGGAAAATTAGGTTGGGTCTAGGGTGGGAATATATTTAAATGACAAATAGAGGGGCTTATATTTTTGCCTAAAATTACTAAGGAGCACTGAAGTTTACTGAGTTAGAGAGTATTGGAATCAGAGCTACATAAAGTGTCACTTTTGGCAGTTTTGTAGAGGATGGGTTTGAGTATAGCATGAAGCAAGATGAACAGTAAGGTAGTCATCGAAGTAGCTGAAACTAAGGATGATGGTAACCTAAACTAAGATAGTGGTCGTGTGAAAGAAGAGAAGGGGAAGGATATGAGAGATGTTGTAGAGGCAAAAACAAGATTTGGATCAGAAAAGTTCTCATGTAAAAGCTTTTAAGAATAAACACAACTTCCTGGCAAGTGGATATGTATGAAGATTGATGAATCAAAGATCATTCCCAGATTTTGAGTATAGGTGACAGAAAGCAGAGTTCTATCCATAAAATGAGGGCAACTAAATCATTTTATCATAATATGATTATTTTCATCAAACCTATAAAATAACAGGATGATACTGGGTCATATAGATGGTATAGAAATAAAATATATCTCAGTGCAAGAGAATTTTCCTTCTGTTAATTATGTATGCTGTACTTGTTTATGATTGAATTACCTAAAATGGTTTTTTTTCTCTGTAACCTATAGGTGATGGAGAAGGACGAGTTGGAATTCTTCTAACTTTAGCCATGAATATCATGAGTACCTTGCAGTGGGCTGTAAACTCCAGCATAGATGTGGACAGTTTGGTAAGAAATGAACAGCAGAGTGTCTTTTATTTCTCCTAAGTGATTTAAATGGAGAAGGGGGAGTGGGGAAGAGTAAGATGTACTAAAAGTTACTCATGTATGATAACCAATCGATAGCACTTGAGATGTTAAAATTTTGTGAACAGTCCTCACCCATAAGATCATGGATTCATTGTACTCTTTATTTAAATCAGATGGGAGCATGAGGGAGGACCTCTGAAGTTTCTTATTTGATTTTGAGTCAGGTAAATTCTTCATTTCAAATAACCATAAACTTTTTGGCATATATAATTGGTCTTCAGATCTTGAGGGCAAAATCACCCATTTCCTTTAAGTACATTGTAAAAAGCTCAGAATTACGGAAGTATCCAATGATGTAAAAGAAAACTCATTCATATATGTCATAATATGAAAAAATAAACTCCTTAATCAGTTTATTAAAGGAGCAAATTTGGGGATAGAGCTATTATTTTAACTGAATTGCCCTCTCCAGGAAATAAGCCTTGGGACGTGAAATTAAGAAAGTAATTTGTGCTCTTGAATACCATTCTTGAGGGTAGTAGTTTGTACTCTTATGAAAACATCCCTGAAAGAACCCACAGGGCCCCAAACCCACTTGTTTGTCAAACTTTCTTGATGGAGATGTTATATATGCTTGTGCAACGGTCTCTATTCAAGATTAGAATTTCCCTAGTTTTTCAAAAAGTTAAAGTCTTCCACCGTTTCATAAGGAGCAGAGAGCGGAATCCTGATCTGTATGGGGGGGGGCGGGAAGAGAAAAGTTAGATAGCGTGTTTTAGTGCAGAGAGTCCTGGCCTTGGAGTCAAGAAGGCCTGGATTCAGAACCTGCTTCTAACACTTAGCAGATGTGGGCTAGACTGTGGGCAAACCACTTAATCCCTGCCCCCCCCCAAGGCTAGTTTCCCATCTATGAAATGATATCTGTAGCATATACCTCTTAGGGTTATTGTGGGGCTCATAAACAGTATTGTATATAAAGTGTTTGGTAAACCTCAAGACATGAGTGACTCAGCCATCATTATTAGAGAAAACTCATTCTCATCTTGTTTGATGATATTCCCATAGAAATGGTCCTAGGATAAATTTATCTCCTCCTATTATTCTTTTATATTTACTACTTGGCAGACTCATGTGCAGGTGTATAAGATAGTTGCTTCAAAGAGTATTAAGATGCAAACTCACCTTTTGTAGACTCACTGAAAGTATGTTTGATCCAATGCCAGTAGGAGACAGGATGACTGGGATGATAGGTACCTGATACTATTCTCACATTATTTTGATTTGTTCTGCTACATCTCTGAATTTTGAAAGCTTTACATCCCAAGCAATTTAGAGATTGAGAGTATTTGGTATATTGTTGTTATTCAGTTGTTTCAGTCATGTCTGATTCTTTATGACCCCATTTGGGGTTTTCTTGGTAAAGAAAAACACTGGAGTGGTTTGCCATTTCCTTCTCCAGTTCATTTTACAGGTGAGGAAACTGAGGCAAGCTATTAAAGATGATAGTTCTTAAGTTTTTTCTATGGATCAATGATATGTTTGGGTGATTGTGGGCAGCACTATGATCTGTGATAATGCTCTCATTCCAATATAGTTTTGTAAAATATTTCAAGATCTGTAATTGTGGAATGAGTATTTGTTGTTTATCAGTCCATAAAACATAGTGAGCTTCTGATATGCGATTGCAACTACCAGATTCTGTCTGCTAGTTACTTAGTAGGTGCTAAATTATTGCAGTCTGCCTGAATGTATTACAGTTTCCTCTATTTCATTGAATAATCCACATTGATCTACATCCACATCCCCAAGTGTGCTTTCTGCTGCTGATGACTTGGTCCTGAATTATCCCATCATAAATCTCTGTTTCCATAAATAAATCCACATAACTTAGCCATTTGTTTGATGTTTCTTTGTCAACGTATTGTTATTTTGGTTCTTGTACCTGATTCTGTTCTTGGCTCTTAGCTAGTTTTTAGCCTCTTTACAGAGTCAAATCATTTTCAGTGACATTCAGTAAATCTAATTGAATGTATCTATTATCAGCTTTTGCTATTTGCTTAAGTCACTTCTTCTTGCTCAAAAAGTACTTCGGTAGAGTTTCAACCTCTTTATTGCGTGCTCTGAAAATGTCTCTAAGTCTTTTTCTTCCATTTGGGTAAGGAAGTACTAATGTAAGGTTATCAGGATACTTTTAAAATCTGTTATGTTTATTTTACAGTTCCAAAAGTATCCATTAAGTCTGACATTGCCTATATATTGCTTCAAATATCCTACTAAGTTTATGTTTTAGGATGGCAATAACTCAATATATTTTGCCACAGCTTTCTCCTTGATAGCTTAAAGCTCTGTGGCTTGTCTGTAGGAAATTAAGGTTTCATTATTGGACATAATTTCTGAAAATTGTATTCAATGAAGATTTCCAATGGTATCTGGTTCTTGAGATTTCAGGAGCCTCAGTTACATTTCTAGTGTTATCTGATCTAAATTGAGGCATAAAATTATTACTCTAGCTATGATGATGATGATGATAATGATTATCTTAGTAGCTTTTGCATCATATATTTAGATACTACATAACAAAACAGAACGTCTTTCCATATTTCTATCTAAATTTTTTCTTTTATACTCAGTTCTCTGAAGGAAAAAAAGACACATTTTATCTACATTTTCTTCCTTTATAAAGTCAATGAAAAACAAAAAAAGTAGTAACCATGCATCATACCTCTAACATCTTAATTTAACAACTATGATAACAGTGGCAAAAAATAAAATGTTTGCTTCCGTTATATTAAAGATGTTTATAGATAAAACTTTATATTACCTTAGGCTGACTGATTTCAACAAACCTTGTTGAATTTTGATAACACTAAATATAAAAGTATTACCATATTTAAAAATACATACTTTCTGCTTCTGGCTTTCCTGTAAGCATTGTGAATACTTGACTTAATCTTACTGTCATAATTCTCCCCATAGCTTCAAGTTCACGAGGATACTTAATGATTGTTATTTGATGTTCATCATATAGAGGTAATAGAATAATAGTTAAGTAATTAATATTCTGTCTTCGGCATTATTGACCAAGATCTTGGGGAAAAAAAGGTAGAAGTTATACCTATACTCTTAATTTCCTATAAAAAAAAAGATGACTTCAACCTTTGGTGGTGGGAAGTAATTTGAATATAACTTTCTAATATTAAATCTAATTCTTCCAAATATGAGAAGATAAAACCCATGAATGAAGGGAGACCAGGGAGCTTTACTTTAGAGTAGTCTATTGACTAGCTCTCTTTCTCTCAAATCTAAAGAGGGTTTGCTGTGCTACAATTAAATACTATTAATACTGTTAAATACTATTACTATGCTATTAATGTTATTAAAAGATTGTTTTCTTTTTCAAAATATGGACAATATTGCTTTACCTTAATGCTTAACCCTGAGTCTATTTCATGGAGCTGGATTTTAAAAGAAACTGTCACAATGAGGTTGTTCTGATACATCTAGTAATGAATGAGATCCATGGCTGATCTGCCTCCAATTCCAGGCTTGGAATTGCCATTCATTCATAGACCCATTGTTTTGGTACAGCAGTGCCTGCAAATAGAAAGATTTTTAATACGAATTAAGGGGTGTTGGTGTGCTTTACTTTTCAATACATTTTATTTGCATTAAACCAGAGGGTATCCAAGCATTGAACTTTCATTTACTTGTGATTGCTTCTCTCAGCATTTCTGTTGCAGTGGAGATGACTATAAAGATTCTTCATAAAAAGAGCTCTGAGCTTAGAGTCTGGTCAGACCTAATGTTCAAATCCCGCCTCTGACACTTACTAGTTATGTGGCTTTGGGCAAGTCACTCAACCTTTCTGAGCATCTGCTTCCTAATTTGTAAATTGTAAAATAGGGATGATGATACTTGCATCTGCCTTACTTCATGAGTTGTTATGAGGAAAACACATTGTACATACATATATATATATATATATATACACATACATATATGAAACATTTTTATGTGAAACTACTTTTAAACCTTAAATGTAAGTTATTGTTATCATAATCAGAGGCACTTAGGTGGCACAGTGGATAGAGTTCTAGACCTGGAATTGGGAAGACCTGAGTTCAAATCCAGCCTCAGATACTTATGATGGACATATGTTGATCAATATGTAGATTAGAGACCATTAGTAAATGTCTGTACTTTGGAAATTCAGGAATGGTCTTTTTTCTCAATAGTATTGGCTTAAAGGATTTTTTGGGTACAAATTAAAATTTTAACTCCTCTATGTAACTTTCATATCAAGCTTGCCAATTCTGGTTGCCTGTCTAGGACAAGTTAATGAGTTATAGCACAGGGTATCTCCCTGTTGTTCAGAAGCATTCATATCCCGCCCTACACTGTTGTATCATTTTCTCATTTAGTTTTATTATGTGGGTACTTACATATGAGATACTGTGTTAGGTACTGGGCATAGGTGGATAACTATGTCACTGACCTTGCTATCAGGGAGTTTGCAGTTTAATAGAGAAGAAAGTCATATATCCGAATCACTGTAAGTCAAAGGACAACATAATAATTCAATTTGACTAAGTTCAGTAAACATTCCTTAAATGCTTACTATATGCCAGTCATTGTGCTAGATGCTGATGACTCAAATACCAAAATGAAACAATTTTCACCCTTAAGAAGTTTATATTCTACTGGGGAAAGCAGCATATATATACAGATAAAAAAATAAATATTTTCAAAGTACAAAATAATTTTGAGATGGGGAGAAAGTATAAACAACTGTCTTCTCTTGAAGGAAATAATAAACTCTTAGGAGAAATACAGGCAAAGCACTAGGAGTAAATAGAAGAGAAAGAATTTATCTTTCGCTAAAGAGGGCAAGGAAGATTTTAAGGAAGAGATAGGACTTTAGTTGAGCCTTGAAGGTTGGGAAGAACTTCAAAAGGCAGAGATAGAGACAGGGTACAAGC